ATATTAAAAATAAAAAAATATTAAATTTTATATTTACTAAACATTATATAACTTCTCTCTACGGGATGAAAAAATGCAAAAAAGAAAAATGACCAGACAATAACTCAAAAATTTCGATCCCATGAGGGACCACCAAGAAGAATCCCATGACCCGGAAGGGCGGCGTCCTGTCCGTCGTTGCCGTGACAGTCACAATGAGTCAGTTTTCGGTATAGTCCTGGGACTGTCACTACGGGAGATGAGACTCCCGCGGATGAATACCCCCGGAATGCTGCCATTCAGGCGAGAGAACGCCGGAGAACGAAGAAGGTAATCAACGAGGCTGATTTGGTATAAGCGTCTCGAAAGAAGAAATCTCATGTTATCTACCGTATAATCTTTTTCCAGAAGATGCGGCGGTTGATGGATTAGCGTAAGACCAGAAGCTCGAGTCGGTACGAAAACGTGATGGACGATAGGAATTATGAGAAAGCAACGAGCACGATCCCCATTGTAAACCGTTCGCCATTTCTCCTCCTGTGCGTGGCTCTACGCGGTATAGCGGTATCTGCGTGCCCTACCTATTACCACATAAAGGCCCAAAGAAATTCTGGCGGAAGCGGAGGCGAGGCGTCGCAGCCAGCCGTTGAGCAAACAAATTTAATGCGCGTGCATAACGACACCAATTTAAATGATAATGCGCGCTGTGTGTGCCTTCAAGATTAACTCGTAATAGGCCCGGAATAAATGTCGGCGGACCTGTTGGAGGTGTATCTAGTCGCCCCGTTACATGCGGGAACAGTGGGTGCTAACTACTCCTGTAGACAAGCTTGTTTATATCGGTACGCGCCGCCCGGCACGAAACTTAAGCGTGAATTTGTATAATACGCATCTGGTGCCAAGAAAATTGGTGTCGTTGCCGGATCACGTCACGATCCGCTTCTGTTAGATCTCTCAACATCGTTATTAACGCGATGAATTATCACCGATCGCGCGCAACCTCCAATTATCTGACCGGTTATTAAATTTAACCAACGATATTTAATTATCGTCGAACGAGGTGTTGCGTCTGTACATATTAGCGCTGCGCCATAATTTACTCGATTATATGCGAAATGCTCGTCGATAGCCTTCTGGATAATCCTCCAATGTTGTAAGAGACTATCCGCGCTATCCCTCTCGCGAATGATCACCGATTTTCCCGCGATTATGCGCACGATAGCGCGAGAGAAAAAAGAAGTAGTATTCATTGCGGGAGAGGGATATATCTCATCGGTTACATCGATAAATTCCGACGGTAATGAACGAGCTTATCTCACGGTCGCTTATCGACTTGGCACTCTTGGCCCAAGTGGATTTGCCTAATTAAAGGAACAAGATGTAAACGATTTTATTTCCATTCGTGCTATCTGCCGACTACTTGGAACGAATAAATGGATTCCTCTGTATATATATCTCTTTCTTTCTCTCCGTCTCGTTCACAGAGCGATGTACAACGCGCTTAAACCATCACGACCAGGTGCACCTGTCACGTATTCTATGCTGTTAGTTTGATTAATGACTGAAATATTTCTTGAATAAACAATAAGACGCGCTTAAACTCGTTGAATAGATTGACACTCGGATATACTTGGAAATAGCAACAGTTTAGATTTAACGTTGAAGATAACTCGAGACTGCACGGGCAATCGCTCGGAAAATGATAATCTGGAATTAACCTTCGTTGATCTAATGTCAACGCTTTGAATTTAAACTTGAATTTAAATCGAAGCGAAAAATGTTCGCAGACGTCCTCTCTCTAATGAATATGGGCGTGAAAACGATCTCTTTCTTCTGATTTTCTTTTTAAATGATTACATTAATATTAATATATTCGAATATATTAATTTTATCAATAAATTTACGGCCCTTCGAGAGTTTATCTTAAACAGAAATTAAAAATGTCGAATAAAAGCTAATTAGAGGGAATGTAATCAACATCGATCAGGAGTCGACGAGTCTTCGGAAGTAAGCCGCACGAGAGTAAGTTTGCCCGCGGAGGTGTCTTGTCGAGATTGTCGCGAATAGAATCATGCAAGCTGTGCCCTCGCTTCGCCTCACCTCGCTACGCCTCACCGCGTTCTGAACCTCTTTGCATATACATTCTGTAAGATTACTTTGTGCGGTTTACACCCTGCGATCCCTTCCCTCCCCCTCCCCCTCCGGCGGCCTCCTTCAGCAGCGCGCTGCGCTTCAGTCCTCGCCTCCTTTCGTTGCCGAGAGGCAAACCACCCTCCAAGTTTCATCCAAGGTCCCTAATGTATGCGGAACTATACGGCAGAAATTCCAAGTTCGGCACGGCCGTGTTAGGCGCCTTTACGATGAGTTTCCACCCCCCCTCCCACCCTTTCCCACCCTTCTCGTTCTCGCTCTTTGCCGCACGAAAAGGGACGAGACTCGCCCGACAAGACTCGCCCTCCGTATAAGAGGCGAACACGCGTGATCCTAATTAGAACGCGTTCTCGAGGTGCCGAAGTAAAAGCGAGCTTCTTGTTAGGCGTCTCGACGAAGACGCCGTCGGCATCCACGTACATATACACGCGAACGTACAAGCGTGGCGCACTTTCGACGTCGCCGCTCTCGTAAAAGGGCTCTTGTTCCGTTCTATTTTGCCAACATTTCCAAATAAACTCGAGCCTTAACTTCCACGACACGTGACGATAATTCGCGAGAACGTTCGATGCGACGACCGGTGAAACAAGCTTGAAAATACGAAATCTCTTCTACACGGAGTTATAATATCTCATTATTATTCTCGCGTGAGAGAGAAATGTTTGATACAAGGTAAAAAGCTGAGGTAACCGCGAGAATTCTCACAGAACGACAGGTAAAACGCGTTTCGCCACCCGCGCTCTTTTCTATTTACATAGAAAAGAAGCTGCCTCCGCTGCTCGGAAAAGCATAATGCCTACAAACGGCCGCATTAGTCGCGTATTACATTAGTGTAATACATTGTGTTTCGGTGATTAAATGCACCTGAGGAAGCTATCTGTCGAATATTAACAAGAACAAAGCGTACGTGACGCGAATGAGGATTCTTGTATTCATTTGTGAGCGATCGAAAAAATTAATTGAAAATTATCTTAAACGTTACTTGTCTACAAATTTACGTTTAAGCATCTCTCTTTGCATTTCTGATCCCGCCGGTAGATTTCCCTGTCAATCATCGTGACGTATCTATCGCGCATTCAATGACGCGTAATCAGCCGTTCGGAGAAAATATGACGGGAAACCACGCGAAACGCGGCGACGTGTTGGTCGGCCAACGGCACGCGACACAGCGTTAGACGAAACGGTCATTAGGGATGCAAAGGGCGGAATCGCCCGGCTACGTTGCATAATAATTACCGTAAAGAAAGCCCGGCGACTCTCACCAACGGGCTTCCCAGGAGATTACAGGATGTCCGGAGGCGAGAGAGGATTCTCCCCGCGTGGCCCGAAAACCCTTTCCGCGCTTACAAGCAATAAAAATTAACGGCCGCCCTGGTCGAAGTCCTATATGAAAGGGACCGCCAGGACCAGGTTGTGGCGCTCGAGTAATACATAATTATCATGGACCATCCATTCTATACAGGTGGCAATAAACAATTCCCTTTCGTTATAAAAAAATGTGTCAAAATCTCTCGGCGTCCGTTGATGTTTTGTCCAATTTCGTTCGCGAAAGGAAGACCGAGCTTGTAAAAGCAAAGTATTATGTGATAAATATATTATGATTTTCTTACATAATATGATTGATTTCTGTCATGATAAAAAAAAATTTCGATCTCTCATACCATTAAATTAACGCAAGCAGCTGGAACAAATTATTGGTAAAAATTCTTTTGAATAGATAATTAAAATAGATATTCAAAAATGAGTAGGAGATTCCTCGGTTTCCTCAAAGACGAATTATATCGCAGCCACGAGCGAGTAAAATCTCGAACGGAAGAAAGTATAGAATCCGCATCCTTCCTCTTTCGCGAAGAGTCTTAAACGGTCGGCGCCTTTAATCGCGAGCCCCGATAAACATATCGAAATTATGATGGAGGATCGGATCGCGTAAAAGGAACGAGCGGCAGGCACATCCTGCCGGTGCCAGCTTTGTTGGTCGCGGCGGAAAGAGGATCCCGGGATACCCCGCTCCTCTCCCCGAGATCTCGCGACCCCTCCTCCTCCACTTTTAATTTCCAGGCGCGGCTAATTATGATTTACGGCAACATCGGCGCAACATCCTGATCGCTACGCGAGATACCGCCCGCAGGATATTCAAATGCGATGAATATTGCTCGCCGCGATAAACGGCGCACGAACGACGGGAGAAACGCTGGAGGAAAGGAGACCGAGCGGTGGTGTAAGTGAGAAAGAGAGAGAGGGAATCATCGCGAGAGCGCGTGTAAAGGATACGGAGAAAGGATTCCTAGTAGCCTACTCGGTATGCAAGATGGGCAGTCAGCCTTGTACACACCGCATCCTTCCTCCCGATCCCTCGAGGGATGTATAAGACATCCTCGCGCGTGGATCGTTCCGTGCCGAATCGCTCGTCCGGAGTATTTAAAGCCCGTCGGGATAATTCAATACGGAACCCCCCTTTTGTGTCCCCGCGTGTGTTTGGAAAACATAAGCGGCCGGCGATGTCACAACACGACGATCGCCATGATTTAACTCTCGCGAGAAAGCCGAGATATAACGACCGCTTTTGCCCGAAGGCGGTATATAATTGACCCTAAAAACGCGCGATATTAAAGTGTAAGAGACCCCAATATTCTTCTACCCTTTCGCCGAGATATTAAATCTCACTCTTCTCGTGATTTTAAAATTATATTATATTATAACTGATTTCATAAAATTTTATTATATTGAAATAATATATTATTTATATCAAGAGAATATATAGAGAATCTTTTCTCGCCTTCCTCCGAAATTTATTATTTGCGATTTAAATCTATGTTGTGTTCGCAACGTGTTGATTGCAAGAGAAAAAAATAATGTAAAAGATATCTTACCTTATCAGCTCGTTTCTTGGAGGGGCTGGTCGTGTCGTTAGGCCTGGCAGGAAGATCGGTTTCGCTGGCCATCCGATTGAAGCGTTGCATCCGCTCGCGAAAGCTGAGCTGCTCAGCTGAGGCGGGATTTGTCGTCGCTGCTGTTTCGTCTTCCTATAATTCAACAGTTTCGATTTCACAAAATAGATCCGAATTTTAGTTAATTAATTGCAATTATCAAAAATATGTAGTCGCTAAATTATTAATGAATTCCAAAGAGATAAAAAGAACAATACTGAATTAATAATCTGTAATATGTATGTATGTAAATTTTTAAAAAATTTCTAGAATGTTTTGTAATAAAAATTTGTAGTCATTAATTCTTTCATTGTAATTCTTGAATATTTATTTTATATTATTTTTATATTATTTTCTACTTTATTTATATTAAATTTATATTAAATTTTATTTTATATTATACTCTATATTTTTTATTATATATTATATTATATTTCATAGTATTTTATAATTATTTTATTGTGTATATCATCATTTTATTGTCTATATCAAATATTATTTTCTATATTATATAGATTTATATAAATTACATAGATTATAAATTGAGAAAAAAATAATAATTGTCATTGACAGCGATGTGCGAGTAACACCAATATCAGTATCTACGCAATGATTATTATTATAAATGAAAATCTTACCTTTATAACACTTTCCGAGAAGCCACTTTTATTCCTATCAACGTTTTCCTTATTCTCCGTCTTGAGTTTGTCCTGGCTTTTACGTCGCGGTGGAACGGGTGGTGACGATACCGATGCGCTGGACGCATCCGAATTATCATTTTTTTGGCCGTTTTCGCGTTCCGAGATTGGCGTCGCAGACTCCTCGAAACTCGCGTGAGAATTGTCCGACGACGGACTGAGGGGCGCGGGAGGTGGCGGCCGATAAGGCGGAGGCTCCCGCAGAGGAGAAACCGGAGTAGCTAGATCGGGAGAGGCAAGAGGAGATCCTACTGGTTGAGGGGATGAAAAGTCCAGGAAAGGTTGCCGATATTTCTTCTTAAGGACTAGGTACTTGTCGCCCTGTTAAAGAACGTTCACCTTGAGAGCGGTTTGTCCATGAATAATTTGACAGGAGCAACACACTCGCACATACGTCACTAAGTTTATTTCTATTATATTAATTGCCGAAAAAACAAGATTCCCGGAAATTCAATAAAGATCTCCAATTTTCAATATTATATTTATCTCAAGATTATTTTCCACGTAAACTTTGTATATTTTTCTTTACAAATTTAATCTTCTTTCTCGCTCTCTTTGTTTCTCGCTTTCGAAAATCCAAATAATACCCAGTTCGTTTTGTCTAGAAAGTTTAATATCGTCATTTTTCGATTTGTGAACGATATCGATATTTCGAACGATGTTAACGAGATAACGAAATTCTAAATTTTATTCACACAGCACTGTTTATTATATACACTATATTTTGATCGACACGCAAAGATTGATACTTTAATCAAAACACATTCACGCGCGGACATACTTGTTCAAGTTTACTGAGAAGTCGGTTGTTTATGTTTCTCCGAATACCAACATAAGCTCTCTAAAAAAAACTCAGTTTTTTCTAGATTATAAATCATAGTAACAATTCTCAATCCAACATTATTTATAATCGATATGATACTACGTATAATTTAGGCTCCCAATATGTTCGAACACGGGACGAGTTATGTAGACTATAACAATAACACGGCGATAATAACTTGGTGCGGAATTTTTCAATTGACGCGCGAGCAGAACCGGCAACGTCGCCGAGTGCGCAACAAGTCGCTCCTGTCAAGGAAGCGAAAGGCAACTGCGAGAGAATCTGCGTAACCTACCTCCTCGTTTTTTATGGTGGCCAAGGTGTTGACGTATTCCTTGAACCGATTCCTCGCCTCCACTGTAACGCAAAATCATATGCTCAAATCCGAGGCCCATTCTGCGAATCTGTCGCATGTGTTTACATCGCAGAAGCGGAGCGCCAGGCGACGCCTCGCGACGAGACAACCGCGAATATGCGCATCGGGGCGGAAATTTAACCCACCTCGCGTCTCCGGGTCCGTCAGAAATCGCTTAAAATGCTTGACCAAGTCGTGATTGCGTGCCGTGCCACCGTTTTCCAGCAAATAATTGCGTATCTCCTCGAGAGACAGCTCACCGGGCGTCGCCATCTTGAACAAACTAATCGACGATGCGTCAGAGCCACGTACGGCCGTCCACGAAGCGGGCCGGCCGGTCGGTAAAAGCAGTCGCTGCGATTATCATCGGGAGGGGGAAAAACGCGCCGAACGTCGATCCACACATTCGAGGTAAGAAAAAATTATTATACATCATTATTGCAGCTTCGTTTTTACAATAATCGAGGGGCGATTTGTAATACAAGTGCACGTGCGATATTCGTTTGAAGTATAACGTGATAAATATTCGCTTTAAATATATAATGTCGACTCGTACTCGAACCTTCTTGGTTAAAAGTCGATCCAACAATAAATAGAATAATTAGTTTTCTTTTATTTCCATCGACTAGATAGAACGCGGAATCATACTACGTGTATATAAGACGTCGTACGTGAGAAATAAAACAAAGTTTTATGACAAGCCTTTTTCTCTCTACGTAGCGTCTAGAGTCACCCCTCCCCCCCTTCTCGTGACTTTCAGTAATGTAAATATGGTGATAACCGGAGTGTTTATGTTTCGTCAGTCGTACGACACAACTGTGAGAGTACGCATCGTTCAATTTCTTTCCATAATAAAATAATCACAAGCAAGATTTAAATATTTCCTTTATTGTGTTATATATGAAGCGAAATGTTTCCGAAATTATAATATGATGACTCGTAAGTTAGGCGATTTTGCACGTTAAAATTATGGTTAATCATGGAAGGAACACACATCGTTTCACATAAAGCAACAAAAGAAAGATAATTCAAGATTGTTCAAGTATGTACTTCAATCGTGGAAATGCTTGCAGCATTTAATTAACAGTTAACTTTTGGCTGAGGAAAAACAAGGATTGTAGCTAATTGCTCAAGGTAATTACTTAATCTTACTGTTTTTCTTTATTTGTATACACAACACACACACACACAAGTTATCAGTTATTTTTATACATTGTTACACGGATTTACATACTTATATATATATAAGTTTGTAAATCCGTGTAACAATGTATAAAAATAATTGTAAATAACTAATTATAATTAAATAATCGCGTGAAAGCAGATAATCATCACTTGCATAAATATCATTTTTATTTTATCTTTATGGAAGTCTATTCTGTTAATTGCATTCAATTGTGAATAATGATATTCCAATATTCGTTAAAATTGTCAATAAATCGTATAGAATATAATATATATTTAATAACCGAAAGTATCTATCGATGTTAATGCATCCGTCTCGATATTTTATTCAGCTGCACAAATAGACGAGAGATCCTCAAAGCTTTCCAAAACGTTATTTTGCGAATTTTCCAATGTTCGAACGATGCCGAGCTCTCGTTCGTCCGGATTAAATACGCGTATTTTAAACGTGCGATGGTACCTATATATATGTACATATATTAATGGAAACGTTCGAAAGTGCATTTCAACACTTTCCCGTAAGCTCTTTACTGATCGGGATAGGATCAAAACGCACGACACGTTTCTCTTGGAGCGAAATCTTTTTTTTTTACCACTCGTTCAGGCAAAATCGTAATCTGTCCCTGCCACTGTTTGACGCGAAGGGCCTTCTGAAACACGCGCTTCTATATTTATTCAACGACCAATTAGTAACCGACGCGATAAATTTTGACTTAATTTACGAACGCGATCGTAATTTCCCGTGTACTCTTTAAATTGCTTCATAAGAGAAAATGAGAGACGCAAATAATCCGTGTGAAAAGCTCTCGTGAGATACTTCTTGAATTTCCATTTAAACGCACAATCGTTGATCATGAAAATCGTTAATGAAAGATAATTTACTGAAACATTGTATTTTAATATACAGGAATTAAGATAATTTGCTGATATGGTATAGAACCGTAGTTCTTGTCAGAAAATAATAATTTTTTTTTCTTCGGCAAAGGATAAAAAATGTATTATTTTCCAGATATTTCATTTTTTAATATGTTTCTTAATTCTTTAATGAAAATTCTAGTAATATTCTATTTCAAATCTATTACAATAATTACATTTTTATAATGAAACATTTAAAGAAAAAGCTGATATAAAATAAATTCTCTTACAATAACAAAGTCTTTTCTGGTTTTGATAAAGAAAATATATATATATATATATATATATATATATAAATGTTTATATATAATGTAGCAAATACACTACATTAGCATATTAAAAAATGAAATATTTCATAAACGAAGTATATTTTCACAAATATTGCAAAAAAGAAAAATGTTTATTTTTTGACAAAGGATACCAGTCTGTATTTTATCTGTATGAGACACTATATAAATTTTATAATAATATATGTGTATATGCTGTTATATACATTGAGCACACTGTAGATATTTTTATATCTTGTTGCATTTCACGCATATATTATGATGCGGCTAACATAAAATTAAAGAATATCGCGATACATATTCGTGCACTCTCTCTCTTTCTCTCTCTCTCTCTCTCTCTCTCTCTCTCTCTCTCTCTCTCTCTCTCTCTCTCTCTCTCTCTCTCTCTACTTTTTGTATGTAAGGGGGTAAAAACTATTACAGCGCAAATGTGTCGTGTACACCATGGGGTTCTCTTTCTTTCTTTCTTTCTTGTTAGCTGTACAATCACGCGCCTGTAACAGCAGCGGTTCTTATTAACAATGCCTCATAATTAAGAAAACGACCTTACTAATCACCCTTGATGTGCAGAAATACACGTATAAAACTGCAGGAGGAGAGGAGGGGAGTAGAGCAAGAGTGCTAGAAGGGCGGGTATGCGTGCAGCACGCAGGGCCCAGGTACGCGTATGTGTATCCGTGGACCGGAAGCAAGGCGGTACCTTTGTAATTAAACCCCCTTTATCGGCGATATTCTAATGAAACGACGAGTAATGATCGAGCGGGGCCCGCATTGGCGCGGCAACAGTCGCACGAACATCCTTCTTTTTACTTGGACATAAACACATCGTTGCTTTTTTCGCTTCTTTTTTCATTAAAAAAAATATGAATGAGTTTTGAAAAATTAAACTTTGCGCTATATTCAGAAATTATTCGACACACGCGCGCAGAGATTCTTTATCTATTATAAAAATTTTATAAATTAAAAAATAATTCTGAATAAAAATCATACATAGGAATACAATTGGAGAAATATAAATATAATATATATGTGTAATTATATATATATAAAACATGCCTTTTGTGTAATTTTATATACTTGTTTCTCTTATATGCTTTTTGTTCGCTCATATAATAAAAATAATGAGAGTAATAATTTAAAAGTAATTTTAAAAAAAGACTAGAAACCAAATAAAATGTACTGTCGATGACGTTTCGACTCTGCTCTGGATCCTTTTTAAATAGGAAAAAATTCATAATATTATTTAAATACAACTTAACCGAATATTATGTTATAAAAGTAAAATTTGCGATTAAATTATATAATATTTTATGTAGATGTAATTATATATTTATATATATATGAATGTATATATGAGTAGTTTTTTCTTGGGTATTTTATAATCTAATTGCAAGCTTCACCTTTAAAAAACAATACCAAAATTATTTGTTTAATTATTTTTCAATTATTCTTTTATGATCTGTTCTATATAAACAAAAATGTGTATAAGAAAAAAATATGTATATAAAAACATACGTATCAATTATATAAATTTACATGTATATAATAATACTTATATAAACATTTTTTCAGATATCGACAAGTACTGAGGAAAACATCTTTTAATCGCAATTATGGAATCGCCGATTCAACAAAATTGCAGAAGCACGATTTCTCGGAGGAACGTACACATGCGTAACATCTCGTGGCGAATCACGCGTCGAGCAACCAAGGTAGCTCGACACAATTCCGCAGACTTGGTAGGATTGATGCACGAGATTGGACGCGGGAGAGGCGAGTTATTTCCCGCCGACACAAAATGCGCGCCGCCGGGGTCGAGGTGACTACGGCCGGGAACGAGGACAAAGGATCGCGTCGACGCCCCACTGGTAAGTGCATCTCCACCCGATATCATCTACCCGTGTTCTACCCGCGTTATGCTTATACGCCCATACGTGCATATGTAAGAGATGCGTGCGCGCGCCTTTATACGTCCGGCGCGCAAACTGCAGGGAACCCCGATGCGTGTGATCTATCGCTCGAGATTCCGAGGAAGAGCTGCGACAATTCCAGCTTCCCTCGCCCTTGTCCGAATCGCCGAGTTCGTTTGCGTTTACGCGAGAAATAACGGGAATGCGCGACAGCTCGAGGCCTCGTTTGCGAATAATTTGTACGCCTTGAGGACCCGGATCGGGACCCCGGTGAGGAATTCCGTAAGCGAATTCCAGACACGCGAAAATGATATTTGTTCGTGTGATCCGGAAGACGCGATGATTGACGCGAGATACGCTCGACTCTTTCATCGAAAATTATACTCCATTTATAAATTCCTGGCTTACGACTATATTTTGCCTCGCACGGGAGAAATGACACGATCGCTCGCGCTCGCGATATACTCCGAAAGAGGAGTCCCGTTGAGCTACTTAACGGCAAGCAAGTTTGCGTAACTCGCGCACGAGAGATGTAAGCACGAGAGGGACAACGATACACGGATGTAGACGTTGTATTTCTTACATGAGTCACTTTGTTTTCTCACAATGCAAACAAGGTTTTTTTCCCCGAAACGTCGAGGGATCCCTCTCTTCGAGAATTCGCTCCGTTTAAATGCCGATGAGATTCTTGGAGCGTCGGCGCCTGATTCTCTTCTCGCTGCGGAAATTTTTCCCTAAGAGATTCGCGTTTGATTATCCATGTGGAGAAGCAAAAAGCATCACTGAAATTATAATTATAAACGTAATAATAAATATATTAAATTTCTATAGATCAACGAATAAATGTTGAAAGGGGGGACAAATTTCTCAACCGATGATTTTAAAATTCGCAAACAAATCGCATTCGGATCGTCGCTTCTCATTCACAGACAGTGAGTAAACGTCGGCGAGCAAACGGTAAATTCGTTGGACCCACAAACGGAAGGCGGGGAAACTTATAGCGGCGCTCTAT